CCAGCTTATGCACTTTGGAGCAAAAGGAGAGGGAGAAGGCTCCAAGCAAAAAAAGCCACAGCAACCATCGCTGAGAGTTGTTGCAGGAGTTAAGTTCAATGGACATTTTGTGGGTAAGGAGACCCTGAGGTCCCCAGTCCTGCTTCCTCCTCAGTGTGTAACTGACGCCAACTACACCAGCTTGGCTGTGGTCCATCTTGGAAACCTCCAAGGAGGATGTTCCTCCTCATTGCTCATCCCATGGCTGCACCACCCTCCCAGCTTAAAAACAAGGAAAAAAACCCCAATATCAATTCCGAGCCTCCCAAACCAAACTTTTTGGCTGTTACTTCTCGCAGCAGAAGAGGTTGACTCTATCACCCTTCACCAAGAGACACGTCCAGTTGTGAGTGTGCGGCGTGCTCCAGCCGGGGCAGGGGCTGCCGCAGCCATGGTTGGGGTCAGCAGAGCGAAGCTGCCATCTCACAAGGACTGGTGAGGTTTTCTGGGTCCAGCACAAGAGACACCGCAGCCCTGCAGCTGCCTGGCAGACACCTCAGGCCATGGCTGTGAGAAGAGTTTTTCCGTAAGCGACCCCAGGGAAGCCTTCAGCACTGCTGAGCTCAGCGACCCACCCCGTGCTGCTGGAGCAAAGGATGCACACAGGTGCCACCTGACAGGTTTGGGACCTTGGCCTGGACGTGCCACCGCACGAGCTGGTGCCACGGCTCTGAGCAGTGAGGAAGTCCTAAGGGCGAGGGAGAGCGGGGAAGCACCAGCTCCATCTGCCTGCCCGCCCTGGCTGAGCGCCGCTCCCTGGGCACTGGGAGAGAAGCCAGAGCTCTAGGAAACACTCCGGAGTCCTGCAGGGCCTGACTGACCTCAGTGCTGCCCCTCGAGGAGTGGCAATGCACAGCCGTGGCCCTCCCCAGCCGGTGGGTGTCCAGCTCATGCCCCGGCAGCTAGCAGGACCAGTGCTGGGTGGTTTGGGATCCCAGCCCAGGGAAGCCCACCCTGAGCTCAAGCTCTGCTCCTGGATTTGCTTGGCATTGCTCATGCCACCCAAAGAAACATCTTGTCCTTTAAAAAATGCATTTCTCAACTTGCAGTCAGCTTTAATTTTTGCATTTTTACCAGGAAAAGCACTTGCTTATGCGAAAACAAGTTTATTTTTTCCAGTTTTCCTTGGGGTAATAAAGTCCAGGACAACCCTCACTACAAATCTTGCCTTGCTTATGCCTATGAACCACCACGGCAACAAAACTCTCTTCTTAACCACCTCCATTCCAAACTGGGAAAAAATAAATCTCATCTATTCACTCACCTGGGTTCCTTGTCCGCAGACAGCCTGTAGCTCTGAGCTCTCCTGCGCCACGTCACTAAAAACAGCACTGGGAGCTCGCCCCGGCCCCTGCTGTGGTGTTATTTCCTCTAAGTCATATCATTGTCACTTTAATACTGTGTTTGCCTTTTCTCTCTTTGGTCTGTTGCCGTGTTTTCACAGGGAACTCAAGGAAGGATCATTTCTCAGTGTAGTTAGCTGGCATTAAATCACAGAGCTGCATGTACATCAGCTCTTCTCCAGCGAACGTTACTTTGCATCCAGCACTTGCATTTAGCAGCAACGAACTTCACGTGGTAACTGGTGGCCTAGTCTCTTTGATAGTCTTCTGTGACTCAAACATATTTTCGTTCATTTAATCATTTGTCACTTCACTACTCGCTCGTGAAATAAAACTGGCCATTTTTCCCCATTTGTCACCTTTCATTCAGTGTGTGATTCACGGCAACACGTTGTCTCACTCCCTGCAGTGACCCCCCCAAAGGCCTTCAGAGAAGTCAAAGTATGAGGCTGCAGGAGTCCACCTCCTGGGCATGACAGCCAGACTAGGACTAATCTGTGACCACCAGTTTAACCCCTCTTCAGCCCCAGCTAGCTTTCTGTGACAGTCATGAGAGCAAAAGCTGGATCTGAAAAGCAGAAGATGAAGAAACGGCTGCGTTACACGAGCAGCTGCTGTGCGCTGCTCCACCAGCACCCAGCTGCGGCGCAGGAGGCTGATGTGCGACAGACCTCATGCTGCCTCCAAACTGCCCTCTCATGCTGTGACAACCCCCTCGTCACAGGGCTTGCAGTTAACTGCGTGTTCTACCCGTGAAACACGCTGCTGCAGCACACTCTTCCCCAGGGAAGCTGGCTCCCAGCGCTCGCCTTGCTTTGGAGGCAGCTCCTAGCAGCTGCCTCCTTTGCAGCAAACCCGTCCTTTAGTCTCCACGCTGTCCAAGCTGGAAGTTTCTGTTTGCGTCTTCACAGAAGCCAGCTCTCCAGAGCCTTCAGACAGCCTCTTCCAGGCGATGGGGGCCACCTGACCATACTGCTCCGCACGGCCCCCAGGACACCCCTCCAAGAGGTGGGCAGTGCCAGCCCTTCCACGGGAGAGCTTGCCTCTCAGTCGGAGACACCAAAACTGACAAAACCGGCAGAGGGGCCTGGTTGTGCCAAGAGAAACAACATGAGCACACAGGGGAACAATGAAACTCAGTTATAGCTTTATTTAGTTACTGGTACAAAGTCCCCCTCAGGCAGAGCCTCCCAGTCCCATTCCCTACCTGAAATGGAGCAGAACATAAGCGTGACCCTCAGAGGAGCTGGCTCCCAGTGAGTCAGGGCTGCTCAACAGTTAAGAAAGGATGTTTTGCGCATCTATCGAGACCTGTAGTAGCCTGACCACTCATCCCTTTTCTCCCATTAACAGCCAGACCCCGGCACGCAGCAGGCGTTTGCCTCCCTCCCCTGTGACCCAGCCAGATGCAAAAAGGCAGCAGAATCGTGAATCCCCCAGAGACAGGAAATAGCACCCGTGCGGAGGAACACACTGCTCACGCTTCCGACCTGCCTCACACCAACCACATGCTCTGCTGGCCGTCACTGGCACCCGCTGGCACTTCCCGAGCCCCAGCCATCCCCCCGCAGACACCCTGCCCGCGCCTGGCAGCAGGGGAGGCAGAGCCGGCAGGGCAGGAAGCTTCTGCAGCTCCACCCGTCCAGGGGCGCCGCCACCCGACTCACAACCAGCTTGATGTTAAAGGTTCACCTGTGCCAGGGCAGAGCAGTGACCGGGCGTTAACTGCACCCGGCCCGTTCTGCAGGAGAGGCAGAGGGTCAGCAGAGGCGTCTGGCAGCCAGGGCTGCTGTGGTTTAATCCCTTGTACTCGGTTAATAGTGCACCTTGGTTAGTGTCAGCTGACTTGTTCATTGCTTTGCCCTTCCAGGAAGCTCAGGTAAGAAATCAGTCTGCTCCTTCCTATCACACATACAGAGATGAGACCAAGACAGTATTTCTGACCATTTCTTTTCCCCATGGCTGCCTGGCACACCAAGGGTCCTGGGAACACAAAGACCTTCTGGTGGGTTCTGCACTCCAGGCACAGCTCTGTCAACGAGCAGCGCCTGCTCCAGTGCCTGGGGTTTCACATCATCACGGTCTTGCTTTCCCATGTCGCACAGATGCCATGCCAACTGCACCACAAGGGTCCTTTAGCAGAAGCACAACTAGAAAGCAATTCTAAACCTCACAAAGACACAGAAATTATATTTAAATGAACAGGGGAGACAACGGCTGTCATCTGGATTGATACACAGCACAGACAGGAGATGGTGTCAGCATGTACAGTAACATGACTTACTAAGACCGCGGAATGTTAACGAGTTTTAAAGAGGCTCTGATGCCAAGGGCATACAGAAAGGACCAAAGTAATGCCAAGTACAGACTACCAAGGAGGTGGCAGCTCAGATGGGCATGCACAAGTTAGAGAGAACAGTTAATGCCATGTTGGATGAAATGCTAGATTCTGAGTGGGTTCAGTGGGGGGCGAGTGGCGTTGTCTGAATCCAGAAGAGGGGCTCCTGCCTAACAGGATACTTCCATGGTTTGAGATGCATCCTGGAGGTCAATTCCTTCTGGGGTTCCAGCACTTCCTTCACCATGGTTGCTAGTGTGAGATCGGCTGCGGACGCTCTCGCCAGAGCCCACACTAGAGGAGGAGTGAGTACGGGAGCGCATCAGCCTGGTCATACTGGCTGCTGGCACTGCAAGAAAGAACAAGCGTGGGACTTAGAAAAGGAGCAAGTTCCGAGAGCAAGTATCATAGTCACTCAGATATATGTCACTGGGTAAGCACAAAAAGAGCTATACCCTCAGGAAGAAAACTGACTCTTCACTGCCAAAATGAAGTCTCTGCACGTTTAAAGCAAGATGTTTAAGGCCCAATTTCAAAAGGTCCAAGGTGAGCAAATGCCGGAAGTGTAACCAGTCGTGTGCAAGGGCAGTCATGGTGGGTGTCTGTGCAAACCCAGGCAGCTGTTGTGCAGATGACCTTTTGAAAGTCAGTCTCGTCACCGTAGAAAACCACAGAGCTGAAGTCATGCAACAATCAACGAAATACAAATGAAAGGCAAAAAACCACAGCGCACGCGTTGTATCATGGATCAGCCCAGCCCGCAGCAGGCCATGCCCAGACAGAGCAATGCACTCCAGAACAATTCAGCTCAGTACACAGACTTGGGCCGAGGCGGATGCACAGTTGAAGGTACCTGACTCAGTGCTTAGGTGGCTGAGCTGCACATAAGGGACTGGAAACAACACGAGACAAGGAAAGGGATGGATACAGGAAAGAGCCAATTAGTTGCGGTGTGTGACCAGCGGCTGCACTGCTCCTGGGATCCCCAGCTACGTTCCCTTCCGTTGCCAGCTCACAAGGCCAAGAGCTCCCAAGACTTGTGAAAACGGCTGCTAATGAGCATCTCGGGGAGATGCCAAGCTGACTCAAAATCCATCGGGGCCAGATCTCTTCAGTGCCTTTAGCTGGCAATTGCAATGTACCTGGTGACCCTACCTCCTGGTGACCCTACCTCCTGGTGACCCTACCTCTTGGTGACCCTACCTCTTGGTGACCCTGCCTCCCCACTGTACACACAGCTGCCCAACAGAGATGTCATTTTCCTATGGCAGGGAAACTGAGGTAACTCTGTAACTCCAGATATGGAAAAGAAATTAATGTCTTTCCTTGAGTTGACAGCATCAGACTCCTGCCACAAGCCTCCTGCAAGGCACTACCTCCCGCCTGCAGTGTTTTAGCCCATGTGCAGAAGGGACAAGAACGGCTGCTGAGGAACTGGCCTGGGCGTTTCTAGAAATGGCAAGCAGCTGATTTGCCTCTCTTGTTCTCCCTGAGAGAGGAGGCCTTGCTGGTCAAGCTCAGCAGTGCCAACACGATCTTGCCAACTAAAGTTGGGAAAACTTTCCTGGAACTAGCTACTAATTCTGGAAGTAGAAAATTGACCCCCACAGTGCTGCTGCAACCCTTGCTCTGATGACAGCACTTGCTGACTTTACTAACACAGCAACACAAGAGATGTGTCCTCTCGGGCTGTGAGGCTGAGGGAGCCTTCTCACATGGCACCCTCCTCTGCAGGACCAGGCTCTTCTGGCCAGCCTCAGAGAACACAATTGTCCTACTATATTCACGTCAACTACACACAGCTCTAAGGAAAAGGACAGCTTCTTCTGAGCTCTGATGCCCATGAGTTGGCCAAGAACTTCTGGCTGTGTGGAGACTATCGGGAGTATCACAGCTGCTACGGTGGCCATGCTCAGTGGTTAACCAGCCACATGAACCAACCCCTCCCATAATTTCAGCTTTTGAAGGTTCATCATCCACAGAAGGGAACTTGTAGCCCTGGCCCCTGGCAGGCAAGACAGAGCTGTGCCAAGGTGCCTGCAAAGGAGACAGAGTTGATTTAGTGCAGTGAGAAGCCCTTCTCCTGAAGCTCCCCGGTCTCTGGAGTACTGAGGGCAGGGGAGCTGAAGAACTGTCAGCCTGACACACTCAGGAGACAACGTCTTCTGCCTCCAAGCACAAGGAGGAAGCCATAGGGCAGGGCATGCACTGGATCAATGCACAGCTCCCTCTGAGCTCCCCAGGTGTCTCAGAAATCACCCAGCTCTCTGTTCTGCCACGAAAGGGTTTCATTCTGAGATACTGCTTACCCCTGGTGAGAGCCTGAAAGAAACAGGTACGCCCGCGGAGAAAGGAAAGAGCTCTTATGCACCCATCAGAGCCATGAGGCTGTATCCTAACTCCTTCCCCTCTGGAGAAGGTATGCACAGAAGCTGTCAGAAGATTTACTGTTCTAGGGAGCATGCTTTTCTGGACTGCCACAAAGACAGACTTACAAGGTTTTACCAACACCAGCAACCAAAAAGGGGTCACCACTCCAGCTGCAGTGTGGATTAAACACATGTCAGGGAACAACAGTGGTTTGGTAAGGCTTGTTAGCACACTAGTTGATTTTCCAGCGTGGATGGATCTCCTGGCAACCACACTAACTCATGGGGGGGGGGGGGG